AGTGAGTGCATTCACAGTTTTATCATCTTAGGAGTTGCAGCGTAGTTACATTGTCTCAGTAGCCTGCCCTGTCATCAGAGTTCCTGATTCAATAGGTCTGGATGGGGCCCAAGAATTTGCATTTATAACCAGTCCCCAGGCGGTGCTGATGCTGGTCCAGGGACCCCAGTTTGAGAACCATGGGCCTACAGTTACAGTTAGTTTCTGGTTCTACTTCTTCCTCTCATTCTTTCAGTAATGGTGTGCATCCCTGAGAGCCCTTTCCCTGCTCTTTCAGGCCAAGGAATGGTACCTACACCTCTGCTGTTAACTAGCTCCAGAGTGCTTCACCCTGTCCCATGTCTATTTCCCTTAACCTGGCCCAAACCGTTGCAGATCGCCCCTCCATTAATCCACACCCTCAGTTACTTAGTTTGCGTGTGCTGTTCCTTGCCAAGACTCTGGATGATTCGGAGCTCAATGAGGATTTTTTGAGTAGACGGATGAATCAGGCTGGGATTCATATTTTCTGAAATCAAGGGCCTTCTCCCTTATTCTCTTGGGCATCTTGCCCTTTAGGAAGAATAGTCTAGGGCCTCTGCCAGGGGTCACCCTACTGAGAGGATCCCTTCCTTTCTCCCCCTGCGGAAGATCAGGAGCACTGGGCACAGTGGATAATGATGGAGCGGCATTGTTTCATCTTCATGGCTCTCTCAGTCATGCTGATTGCTCTGCAAGCATTTCTAGGACACGTTTCTACGAGGTGGCCAGCACAGCGTGCCTCTAATGACACCCTATACAAATTGGAAGAGAGTACTAAACAACTAGTTCATATTCACAGCCCCCTACATGAGCACGCAAGCATGCATTTTGTGCACGTGCATATGCGTGTGTACACACATACACACACACACACACACACCCCTGTTTCAAATGCAACACAACTGATGGGGATTGCCATCCCAGTACTTGGGGTATAGATGCAAACAGCAACAGAGAAGCAGCCACCCCTTCCAAGCTGAACACATGTAAGATTTGCCCTTTAATTAGCATCTGCAGCTGCTGCCATCAGAAGGGTCTGTCTCTGTTGGCCTGAATGTCTTTGCTTTAAAAGAGCAAGTCCATTATAGCTCCAAGCCAGGCTCATCTGTCAGCTGCTGTGCTTTCTCTGCCATCTGCAGGGTTGTCACATTGTTTAGGGCTGTTTCACTGTAGGACTCTTTCTCCTCCTTCCATTTCCCAGCCTTTGATTACCATGCCTTAGTGATCACCATTTGGGTGACCTGCAGCTGTTTGCTGGCACAGGGACATCTTCTGTCCACGCATGGATGCAGAACCGTTGCTTCAGTGCTGATGGACTGGTTATTGCTTTGTTGTCAGCGATCTTGTCTTGATATGCAGAAGGGCTCCAGGTAGTCACTGAAAAAATGTAAGCAGCTGAAATGATGGCTCTATTAAGGCCAGGTTTCATACAGAGGCACCTCTGCTGTAGAAACTTTTCTAGTAGGAGTAGGAGCCACATTGGCTCCAAAACGTCACCAGCAGCAGGTCTCAGTGCAGTGCTGGGCTGTACCAGGCACCAAAATTACCCATTAGCTTTTTTAAAAAAGCAGATTCCTGGACCCCAGCTGTGGAGCTTGATTGCATGAAGTCTGGAGCTGGTCCTTTCACAAGCTCTCAGAATGGTTGGGATGGGAAGGAGACATACTTTACCCTCTCATACTGCTTAGGTCTTTTAAAAAATTCTTTTTCATTCCCCTAGAATTCCAGCTCCATGAAGGCAAGGGTTTTTGTCTGTTTCAGTCACTGCTCATTTCCTAATACTTAGAATAGTGCCTGACACATAGTGGGCACTCAAATGTTTACTTGTATGAATGTATTTTATCTGTTTTTAAAAGAGCTTTCCCAGATGATTCTGGTGGGCAGGCAGGTTTGTGAGGCCCTGCTCTAGAGAACTTACCAATGTAATTAGGTTAGAAGCCACATTTTGTGGGGATCAGCGCCTCACTGGGCATCTCTGAGTAGTAAAAGTCAGGAATGAAATCCTATTTTTGGGCAAAACCAGATGTGGCGAATGGAGACTGTCTGGCATAGCCTGGGTAGTGACTTCGGCCTGAAATTGCCCATATGTTCTGCTGACTCTGGTCTTCGGTTCATGGCAAGTCATTCAGTATGAAGACCTGAATGCCCACAGTTTGTGACTTTTGATGGTAATTTTGGAGCCTCTTGATTTGGTACCATTTTTAAAAGCCTAAAAGCATGTTCTGGAAGTGCCTACATCCTAGTTCTTTACTGTATCTCTGAGCTCAAGAGCAAGATGATTGATTAAGCTTGGGTTAACCGCACACAAGCTGTCTGCCCCATGGGCTCCATTCGTACCAGAATAAGTGACTGTACCCCAGTATGATAGTTTTAGAATAGGGGTAACATCTTGGGATAGCCAAATTTACTCAATAAATGTCCAATTTAAGTTCTCATTATGGTGTACAGTTGACATGTTTAGTATGGTGATCTGGGATCATGTTGATGGGTCAAGTTTGATTAGTTCTTTGATATGGACCCAGTCTATTTAGAGGTTTGTCATTTCATATGTCTTTTTTGGCCTCATGATGTGGAGCAGCTGTTACAATTTTTGCTGCTTGTCTTTTCAATCAACCCTTGTTTTGAAGGGATGAAAAATTGTTCGACTCATAGAAAAGACTAATCTAGTTTGGGCAGAGATTTTCAGCTCAGGAAATTGGATCTCCTGATTAGGAGCAAAGAATACATATCTTTTTGCCTTTCTAAGAGGTGGTTCTTATTTTCTGAACCATCTTACTGGCCATTAAAAACAGAATTTTCAGGAATAGCCACTAAGTATTTAATAGTGGTCAGTTCGCAAGCTCTAAAAAGTTGCCAGTGGCTGCTGTGTGTTTGACTTTCTCATCCTTAAACTTATAGGCCATTCTATTTTTCACATCTTTAATAGAGCCAGATTAGAAAATTTATAACTGCCATGTGTTGTCATAAATATGCATTGTTCTCATTTTAAGACATTTTGGTTCTAAAAGCATGAATACTTCTGTTATTATCTGTGACAAAAATTATTTTTGGTGGATGTTCAAGACCTTTTTAATGGCAATATATATTTAAAGCAGACATAAAAATTAGCATTAACCCACATACCCAGGGCCTGCAGAGAACCAGGTTGGGATGAGTGGGTGAGCTATAGGCAGCCAGGTGGCTCCTGCGGGCTCTCTAGGACTAGATGAGTAGCTATGACTGCTGTGAATTTGGGGAAAATAAAGCCTGCATTTTAGATGCTGCCCCTTCTAAGTGTTGCTGTTCTTATTAGTTCATAAGTAAGTTTTTTTTTTGCCCCCAGCAGTTTCAGGGCAAATGGAACCTTACTTTTCAAATTGTCCAGCATCTGGTTGAGAACCTGCTGTGTGTAAGATGCCTTGTCAATGGGGGTGACTCCCAGTGATGCAAGTCATTGGCTCCTCCTGGGTCTCTGGTGGGGGGTTGACTTGGTGCAGGGAAGATTCTTTACTGGATCAGCCTGGGGCCTCTAGGGTTATGGGCAGATGCTCCAGGTCTGACTTGACTAGAGCTTTCTTCTAATTCTGGGCAAAAAGTAAACAGAAATTTGGAGGAGGATGGAGGAATTCATATCCCAAAGTTGGCTTCTGGAATGCAGTAGTTTGAGAGATACATTGGTTTTTTTTTTTTTTAAAGATGTTTATTCAGATCTTACCTCCTTCCAGAAAAGATTTGCAACAGCTGAAAAGACGTTTATAACATAGCTCATGAAATGGGAAATCAGAGCAAAGGACAGGAGAAGAACTCAGCAAGGGCTGGTCTGGTGGCAAAGATGGTCCATATGGTTCCCAGCTTCTCCCAGCCATGATCCTTCTCCCAGGATCATGCAGTAAAGGGGGTGTTGGTGCCAGGTTGGTGGCAGGCACAGTATTGCGAGGGATTTAGACTTATACCCATTTTACAGAGGACAAAACTGAAAGGCAGAGAGTTAAAGCCACTGCACTGATGTTTGAAGCTACCCTGGTAAATTGGCCTCAAAGCTGCTTGTTGACTCAGGAATATCACACTTGGTTATTATCAAAAGGAGGAAGGATTTTGGTTTCTTGGGGTGGAAGAAATATTTTTACTAATTAAGTATTTTACCTGAGGCTGTACTTTATATTTTTCTTCTAGATTTTTCCCCTATATATATACAAGCAAGTGTAATACATTTTTGTAATCAAATGAAAGGGGTTGTACTTTATCCTGTATGGGATACCACTTTATAACACCATGGATAGCTTTGCATGGCAGTGTGAATAGGTGGAGTCCTTTCATTCCTGATATCTGCATCATATTCTATTGGGTAGATATATCATATTTTAGCAGTCCCTTGATGACAGATATTTGGGTGATTTGCAGGTTTTTTTTCCTGTGTTACAAATAATGCTGCAGTGAATCTATCTACAAACTATTGTGAGTTCCTGTAAAATCAATCATCAGAAGTAGAAGTAGGTCCAAGGGTATGTGTTCACATTTACATTTTTAACAGAGACATTTAGATTATCTCCCATGCTGACTTAAAAGATTGTATCACACTCATTGCACTCCCCCTATATTCTGCTCCGTGCTAAGGGGAAGGCAGAAAGGATGCCAGGGAATTTGTTACCCTCCAGGAATTTTTGTCTGCACTGTGTACCTCATCTTTGGGGATGTCTGGGGTGTTAACTTAGGGTGGGTAGGTGAGTGGGTGGATTTAATTCAGTTTTTCAAGCTTGCCTTGCAAACATTGTGCGTGGTGTCTGGGACCAGTCTTTCATTATATTGGTTCTCTTGGGTAATAGATGTAATTTCCTTAGGGCAGGGACCTCATCCTACGTGACTTAGAATATGTCTCACACATCTTCATTGCTTTGTGGACATGTAATTATAACACATCAGGCAGTATTGGAGGAACTAACTGAGACATTTCCTTTGTTGGGGGGTATATGAACAATTAATAACTTTGGCATTCTATACAGGTCATGGAATATCTGCCTGGAGGGGACTTGCTGTCACTTTTGAATAGATACGAGGACCAATTAGATGAGAATATGATTCAGTTTTACCTAGCCGAACTGATTTTGGCTGTCCACAGTGTTCATCAGATGGGCTATGTACATCGGTAAGTGAGACTCTGTAGTATGCTGAGAATTTATTGGTATCACCTAAGAGTTCATACACTAGAGTGAATGGATGAATGAATTCAGCATCAAAATAACAAAATCCAGCCAGCTTCGAGCCAGTCTTGGCTACAGCTGGCTGGAAGTAAATTTTCCAAAATGGTGGGCATTTCAGCTTAACCTATTCAACAGTGAAGCAGACCTAGAATTGTAATGTTCTTAAGTTTGCCAGCAAGATCTGTCAACGTAGCTAGTAAGACTGGGAACTCTTGCACGGGCTCTTTGGGTTATGGTAGAGAACTGGGAACAGGATTTGATTTGCAGGAGGAACTGGAATACCTCGTAGGAGAACACGACCGTGGAGCTATACTTCTGACTTGGCCCATTAATAATTTACAATGCTATTCCACAAAATCCTAGGTTGACAGTGTTTATTTATATCCTCATTCACCTGATGCTTATGTACGTCTGAGAATGTTGTGGGAATAGAATGATGGTTAGACCAGGAATCATGAAACCTGAAATTGATTCTCAGCTTTTCCATTGACTAGTTACATGACCTTGGGCAAGTTCCCTGTCTTTTGGCCTTAGTTTGCCTACTGTAAAACGTGCGTCTTTTGGAGAAATAATCCATCTAATAACATGTATTTTTTCCCCCCTCTCCTCTCCTTCCCCTTCCTTCCACCCCCTATTCCCTTCCTTCCTTCTTTTCTTTCTTTCTTTTGTATATTTTGTTTTGCAAAATGTTTACTTATTATTTTTGTCCATCACTAGGGAGGTCCGTATAGCAGAATACAGACAGTGAGATTCAGTCAGTGTCCTAGGTTAGCACTTGCTTGCTGGTTGGCATGGAGAAGATGATGCTCATTTGTGGCTCTGATCTTCTTACAGAGACATCAAGCCTGAGAACATTCTCATTGACCGAACGGGACACATCAAGCTGGTGGATTTTGGATCGGCTGCTAAAATGAACTCAAATAAGATGGTAACAAAATGGAATAAGATAACACAGATTATACTATAAAGTGTTCATAGTCCTCGTAAGTTTGGAAAATATGGGATAAAGTTGAGCGACATTCTGAAGCCTTTATCTGTCTGCCAGTGTATGAAATGATTTCTCCAGGGGTAGGAAGGGGATACAGAGCTGTTATCCAGACTTACGTGTCCTGGTTGCCATTTTATGTATAATACGTGTCAATACCCTATAAAACATTTTTAGGAACATTCTTGTAATTTGGTTAAAAAGAAGGGAAACTGCTTATTTTGTTTTTTTCTTCATTTTTCCATGCTTGTTATGGACTGTCTTCTGTTGCATTATCTTTTTCACTTTAAAATGTTTTGATGAAATGTAACCTTATTTATCTCAAATGCTTTATTTCCTATGCAGCAAAATTGCAATTAATCACCGGAGCATTTGAACCAGGTATCTTTAAGTGTTAAGAAGCAAGTGCTCAGAATGTCAATTCTAAGTCCAGGCCCTTTGATGTAAATTAAGCTGTATTCCATGCACTAATTAGGAAGGCAGGAGGGTAGCTATTGAGATCAAGAGTGAGAATACTTAAGGAAAAATATGATAGAGTAAACCAAAGTTAGATTAAAAGCATTTTCCAGTCAGCTCTGCCAAAAATGGTAAGTCTAAGAGAAAAGGGACTTAGATTTTAAGAATAATTTCACAACTGAGCTATTTGGTGACCCAGGGAAGTCCTTAGGAACTTGGCCTTTTATTCTTTCTCTAGAAAATACTGATTCTAGTTAAAATGCACAAATGAAGAGCTTAGAGAGGCTGCTTTTCAAAATGTCCCCAGCTCTGAGAGTTAAGTCTTCATAAAGGGCAATAGGTAAAATTGCCTTTTCTCTCAAGTTCCTTGGAGGAAGGGTGGGTGCCATTAAATTGATAGTAGGAAAGTCTTGGAGTTAGGTTAAGTCTTTGCATTGCATGGTCTGGCCTCCATGTTCTGCAGACCTGAGTCTCCTTGAGACAATTCCCTTGATGTTCAGGCCTTTGGAAAAACAGGCTCCCTATGCTGTCCACAGTCACGGTTTCTCAACCTCAGCACTGTTTTTTTTATTTTTCTTCTCCTCAGATTATGTTCTTATAATCTATTCTACTTGATCTTTACAGTAAGAATTAGATTGTAGACTCAAAACATTTTATGTTTTAAGTGTTATAATTCAGAAACAGGCATGAAAACTTAGGTGTTGAATTCAATGGAATAAGGCACAGAAAAATTAAATAATGCCAGGTTTTATCATCTAGGATTCAAAAATGTATACATTGCATAATGACCTTAATAAACTCACACACCTAGAAATAAATTGAAGCACAGATACATAGTCTGGTAATAATTGAAGCATAAGCGCATAACGCCATTGGCATTTAAGTCTGGATAATTCTTTGTCAGGGTGGCTGTCCTGTGTGTTACAGGATGTTTAGCTTCATCCCTTGCCTCTATCCACTAGATGCCAGTAGCACCTCCCCTCCAGCTGTGACAATCAAAAATGTCTGCAGACATCGCCAAATCTTCTCTGGGGGACAAACCACCCCTGGTTGAGAACCACTGCAGTATCATGAGAAGCATCAGAAAGCTTGTTAATCAGAGCCAGCAATATGTATTTGCAATAAGAAAACCTACTTGGCAAACTAGATTATGATCCAAAGTTCCTGCTAATATTTACTGGTAAATAAATGGGAATGAAGAGTAAGAACTTATCTCTGTCACTCTCCAGCTCTTGATGGAGATGCTGGGCTCTATTCATTTCAGGTTTCTATTCAGTGCTTCAAACTGCCCTTTTCAGTTCTAATTGTAGCAACCTTCACTCCAGGTGGGGAGCCTCCCAGAGGCACTTTGGTTTATTTGCAGCTCAGTGCTCAACCCCTGATTATTTCGGTCAAGGAGTTATGGCCCTCAGTCATGCACACTGGAGAATACTGTACTTTTTCCTCTCTTGGAGAGAGAACTGAATCTCCAGAATTCTGTGCTTTTAGAGCCAGAATGTGACAAAGAGATAAGAAGGGATTGTTAGGACTGTTTTAAGTGCAAAGGCCTTTCATTATAGAAGTCCAGTAATCTGCAATTTAGACCAAGTCAAATGTGGATATAGAGTTACACTTTTTTTTTCTTTTGGTATTTTTGATCAACGGTGGTAGGTTAAACATGTGTATCTTTCAAATAGGCCTAAAGTAAGTTGTAAATGTTTTTTTGTACTTGGAATATACTATATAAAATAAAACCCACATTTACTAAAATTAATGTATGTACTGCCCTAAAATCACTGAATCCTTTTTTATCACTCCCAACTAATATATATATATATTTTGGATATTTGTGAATCTTAGATCTGTTGAGTTTTCCATCTTACATCATCTTTTATTTTCAGCTTCATTGTTGATTTGGAGCATTTTCCCTAGGAAACACGGGTGGACCATCCTGCCTAGAGGGGGGATGTTGAACTGAGCTGTGCCATCCACCTGCCATGTGACTTAGGTCACCCACTTCATCTGTTAGAATCTCAAAGAATGGCAAATAGCTAATAGTTCCAACCTGTCTCATTCAGCTCTCACAAAATCAAATGCAAGGAGATTGTAAATAGCGTTATATGTTAAGTGGTAATAGTATGTTAAGTGATAACCAGCCCCATTTAGCAGTTGGAAACCCATAGGAGATAGCCTTTTTTGAGATTTATGCAGGAGTGAAAAGATTTTCTTTCTTTTCCACAAGAGGAACAACATATGAGAACTTTCCCCCCTGCTTCTGCAGGTGTACATTCATGCTGTTAGGTTGAGGTTGTTTTCTGTTTCAGCATTTTATGGGAAAGGGATGGGGAGAAGATGACAGTGGTTTTTGTACTTTCTTCTCATCTGCTTTCTGCTTGTAAAACAATTACTTTTTCCTCTCTTGGAGAGAGAACTGAATCTCCAGAATTCTGTGCTTTTAGAGCCAGAATGTGACAAAGAGATAAGAAGGGATTGTTAGGACTGTTTTAAGTGCAAAGGCCTTTCATTATAGAAGTCCAGTAATCTGCAATTTAGACCAAGTCAAATGTGGATATAGAGTTACACTTTTTTTTTCTTTTGGTATTTTTGATCAACGGTGGTAGGTTAAACATGTGTATCTTTCAAATAGGCCTAAAGTAAGTTGTAAATGTTTTTTTGTACTTGGAATATACTATATAAAATAAAACCCACATTTACTAAAATTAATGTATGTACTGCCCTAAAATCACTGAATCCTTTTTTATCACTCCCAACTAATATATATATATATTTTGGATATTTGTGAATCTTAGATCTGTTGAGTTTTCCATCTTACATCATCTTTTATTTTCAGCTTCATTGTTGATTTGGAGCATTTTCCCTAGGAAACACGGGTGGACCATCCTGCCTAGAGGGGGGATGTTGAACTGAGCTGTGCCATCCACCTGCCATGTGACTTAGGTCACCCACTTCATCTGTTAGAATCTCAAAGAATGGCAAATAGCTAATAGTTCCAACCTGTCTCATTCAGCTCTCACAAAATCAAATGCAAGGAGATTGTAAATAGCGTTATATGTTAAGTGGTAATAGTATGTTAAGTGATAACCAGCCCCATTTAGCAGTTGGAAACCCATAGGAGATAGCCTTTTTTGAGATTTATGCAGGAGTGAAAAGATTTTCTTTCTTTTCCACAAGAGGAACAACATAGTGAGAACTTTCCCCCCTGCTTCTGCAGGTGTACATTCATGCTGTTAGGTTGAGGTTGTTTTCTGTTTCAGCATTTTATGGGAAAGGGATGGGGAGAAGATGACAGTGGTTTTTGTACTTTCTTCTCATCTGCTTTCTGCTTGTAAAACAAGCTGCTGAATTAATCCTTTTCTTTCTTTCTTTTTAACCTCTCTATCTCCCAAAATGTGATTGAGTCTTCCATCTCTTAGTCATTTTCGTATTGTCTCCTGCTGAACTGGTATATTTTCTTTCTTGTCAGTATAGTGAAAATTAACTTTAGTTTAGTAAAACTTGTCAGATGGTGTACTGCAGGCAGGCTGGGCCCCTGGTATACTTCACACTTTTCCACTTTTAAGGTATTACCCAGATTAACTGGCTCTGAATTCTACCAGAGGAGAGTGAAAGCATCTTGCTAAGTCCTTATCAGGATGTGTGAGATTATATGTTGAATAGTTTTAATGTTCTTGGAAGTCAGTAACTAATGGAAATTTAGTAGACTAATGAAAATTAAATTTTCATTAACTTTTATTAATTACTATAAATACTGTAGTAGGAGATATACGTAAAGCAAGGTAGGGAACTTTTTTCCTTAAAATCTAGAAAATGACTAAATGATTTGACTGCAGTGTGTATAATCACATATCATTTATGGGACAAGAATTAGTTGGGGAGTTATCTGACCTCTTCAATAAGTCTGATCTGGGATTTGAAAATACGACATTGACAACTGATACCCACTGCTGGGTTGTGCCGATAAATGTGACCCAGTCAAGTTCCTTTTAACTCTTTGGCTATGAGCAGGTAAGTCACCAAGCCCTGTGACCTGCAAGCAAGGAGAACTGGGTATTCCTAAACAATCTAGTGTGATGATAAAAATAAACCAAATAAGTGCAAACAATGCATATTTGAGGATTGTGTATTAATTGTTCTGCAAGGTAATTAGGCATAAAGGGTAAGCATTTAATCAATGATACAGTGGCATTACCCTAGTCAAACCAAGATGCTTTTACTTCTCTTGTTTTGATATTTTGAAAATATTTGTTTCTTTTTATCAATGTTCAGCATTTTTACCAAGATCCTGTAGTTTAATCCTAATCCTGTGCTGAGCTGTACACACACATTAAAAGACAGAAGTCTTGGTCCAGGCTTCTCAACATCAAGGTTTCTATTTGATTTAAGCTACTTTTAGTTCCTCAGATTAAAATGCCCTGTCTTAGCCCAAATATATCTCCTTTCTCCCTACTTTTGTCCATCAACCCAGGCCTGTGGGTTTCTTGGGTGGTGTGACCATCCAGCTTTCTCAAGTGAGTATTTGCAGTGGAAATCCTATTGCCCAAAGCAGTTGACAGTATCACATTGCTTTCTGGGTTTAGGGTTTGGAAAAACTTATGGTGGGCCTGAGGGAAGGGGTGAGAAGAGGGAGCAGAGAGAATGAGCCTGTTTCCTACAACAGTGGGTCTTTGGGTCAGAGGAATGGACAAGATTAAAGTTACAGGCCAGAAGAACTGGGGTCTTCATTGCTGGGGAAGGAGACCTTTTAGTATCTTCTCAAAATACCTACTTTCCTCTCAATCCCCAATCAAATAAAGCAAAGCAAATCAACTTTCATGAAATAAATAAAGCCCAGCCTTAAAGATGTGGGGCCATACCTATAAAATCTCCCGGCTCAGTTGGGCACTTAACAACCTCTAATTGGGAGAAAGCTCTTTGGTGCCTCAAAACTGCCAACTTTTTGTGAGAGAAGCCTTTTTAGATGGAGGGCTATTGGACAACTGGTCAGCACAGTAGATGACTAACGTCAGGTCTTCTGTTTTGATGGGTAAGAAGTTAGGTGATCCTTAGAGTTTGAATTTCATGGCTTAGTAAAACTTGAAAACAATTTTGAAGACCAAAGAGCTGCCAGCTTACAAGGTTGCCTAGGAAGGGATAGGGTGAGGGGCAGAAAACCTTCGTCAGCATCGTTTCAAGAAACAAAGGACATTTAAACACTGAAATACAAGGACACATTCTCAGACAAAAAGGAGAGTTTTTTAAATGGAATGTACTTAGCTTTATAAAAAGACATCCCACATTGTCCTAATCTTTCTTTGCCAGGGTCAGGAGCTTGGGTACCATTGGGTTGGAGGCCTCTGGGTTCTGAACAGTGGGGAGGGAACCATGGGAGCAGGCTTTGGGTGGGTGAGGAAAATGAACTCATTAACATCTGTCCTCTGGTGGAAGTTATTTATCATGTCTTGCTCTGTGGGTAGGCCGAAGTAGGAAGGTTGATTCCAAATATTTAAACTTGAGATTTAGCTCACGTTTGTAATATTGCATTGCCACCTAGCTAGCTGCCAGTTTTTTAGTAGTGGATAGACTGATCTTCTAGGTTTATCTAGGGTATCTTTGTCATGTGGTCATTTTCTTAAGTAATATAAGTTCTGTCCTATCAGTAATGTGTGTCAGGAAAGACGTTTTCTCATTTATGTAACCAAAGTCTGTATGGTATATATCATCAGCAACTCGTGCCCCTTTGCTTTTGGATTGCATTATATGCTTTTCTTTCTTTTTTTTTTTTAATTAGTAAATCGTTTGCATTTCCTGATGGTGTGCCACTTGACAGAAGGTGTAAGTGCCTGGAAGAATAGTAATCAGAGGCAAATCAGCTTGTGTCTGAAAAGTGGCTGTTGGCAATCTATTTGAAGATAATTGAAAGTTTTTCTGTGTTTTATTTATTCATTTCCAGGTGAATGCCAAACTCCCGATTGGGACCCCAGATTACATGGCCCCTGAGGTGTTGACCGTGATGAATGGGGATGGAAAAGGTGTCTACAGTCTAGACTGTGACTGGTGGTCAGTGGGAGTGATTGCTTATGAGATGGTTTATGGAAGGTCACCATTCACCGAAGGAACCTCAGCCAGGACCTTCAATAACATCATGAATTTCCAGGTAAAGAGCCACTAACAGATTTTGAAATTATATTGAGAGATGTCATTTAAAAATTGCTCGTATGAATGGTTATAATGCAGACCTGTAGTATTGGGTGATAATGATAGCAAATACTTTTATAGCACTCGCGTGGTACCAAAAGCTGTCCTAAACATTTATTAATTGTTATTTTATTGACTCTCAACTGCCAGTAATTGTAAGCCCCTGCTATTTTATATACCATTAAAGAAAAAACACTGCCAATTAATCTGTGATATTTCATTGATTATAAAATGCATTTTGATGTCAGCACTGTTAAATGTGAAAAAATGTGTGAGTCTTAGAATTGAGTAACTATAGTTTATTAACTTGGCTAATCCTCGAGCATCCCTGTGAGGTAATATTATTTTCATTTTACAGATGAGGAAACCAAAGCACAGAGTGGTTAAGTAACTTGCCCAAAATAACACAGGCAGTCTGATTTTGAAGTCCATGCACTTGATATTATGTTATACTGCTTTTTAGTACTCCTAGCCAAGGTTGTAGAATTGGATGAAGACATGAAATACAAACACAATAATATATACATATGTATGAAGTAAAATTCAAACTATTTTCCAATAATTTTACTTTTCACTATATTAAGCCCATTTCTTAAGGATGTGATAAGTATATATATGTTTTAGTTTCAATCTAAAGGAAAAAGAGAAGTTAACTCATAAGTTTTTGTGTCTCACCCAAGTTCATCTTTCTGGAATGCCTAACACCTATTTGTTTACAAATAATACATATTTTATGTACTTCATACATACATATATTATTTGTTATTCTTGAATCTCCTCTTGAGTTAAAGTTTTCCCTTAGAGGATTCTTGGGGCTAATTTCTTTCTTTCATTTCAATCCACTCATTCAGTGACAAGTGACTCGCACTAGGTACTGTTAGGTACCCAGTTTACACTGATGAGAAGGAAGGAGAAGGCTCTATCTTTTTTCTCCATCATTACACAGAAACACAGTACACTGTGTGTGTGCAAAAGTGGAGCACACAGGAGGGATGATGGGGTGGAGGAGGTAGGCAGAGAGGCAGGCAGGGAAGTGCCTGGGTTGGGGAGGGTGTCCTAGGCAGAGAGAACAGCATGATTTGTACAGGCAGTTTTAAATAGCTCATCATTGTTGGGCAGCAAAGAGAAGATGGGGGGTGTAGCTGGATGAGACAGGAGAGGTGACCAGGGGTCAAGTCATGAAGGATATTGAACCCTTGCAAAGGAACTAGGTCTATTGATGTGAACAGGCCGTTTATTTCGGGAACATGCCTTTGGTCCAAAGTTAAGAGGGCACAAAACTTCCTTCTTTTTTAAAAAAAGACAAACTTGCATATGTGAGAACTTTCTTAACTTTGGGTCATGAGAAACTGAATTTACTAAGGAAATCATTATTTAATTTTTTTGGAATAGCGGTTTTTGAAGTTTCCAGATGACCCCAAAGTTAGTAGTGAACTACTTGACCTGATTCAGAGTTTGTTGTGTGGCCAGAAAGAAAGACTGAAGTTTGAAGGCCTTTGCTGCCATCCTTTCTTCTCTAAAATCGACTGGAATGACATTCATAACTGTAAGTAGAGTCACCTTCCTTCAGTACTGGTGTTGGGATTAAGTGTAAACACTTAAGAATGATCTGAAATTATTCTGGTCAACAGAAGCTGGTATAAATGATATAAGTAAGAGGTAATTATCTGCGGGAATAGAAAAGGCTAATGTAGCTGTCTTTGACTAATAATTGTACTTTAAAGTTGTTTGCATCGAACTGAGTCATTTGTCAAACTCTATTTTTGTGTGGCCCTTAGAATAGTATCCCTAAGTTACTTAGAGGTGAAGATTGATGGCGTTCAAAGGCTGTCACTTGGAATGACAGAGTTTCTTCCCAGAGGAAAAGTGGTCTTTCGTATTTCATGCACAGACTAGGAAAAAGACTCAGAAATCAGGCAAAGTGCTCAGGTTGCTCTGCTAATGGCCAGTCCTGCACTAAAACCAAAAAGTTTGCCGGTTTCTCTAAGCTCCTGGAAAAATATTTAAATAGGCTGAGTTTCCATACGTTTGCCTTGGCAATTATTTTTCTTCTGGTAGCCTAATTGCTTTATTTGTTTATATGAAGCCTCATTATTTATTTATATAAAGATTTATTTATAATCTTTAGGCATCAACCTGCAAATCTCCAGGGTTCAGAGTTTTTAATCTGCAATGTGTTTTCAGTGCAGTCTTCATTTTTTACTTTAGGAAAACTTGATGGAGTTTCCTTCAGATGCCGTTCAAATACTTAATCTTTTCTTGCTTTGCCTTTTTTATCTCTGTCATCTTCTTGAACAAGCAGTTAATTCTTCTGTACATGCTCTTGCTGATTATGTTTAACAACACTCTCCACTCGAGGAAGTCAGTGCATGGTGATTAATTACCCGAGTAACTTTAGTATGTGTTCTGGTAAACCTTGGTGTTATTTTTGGTATTGTGTCAGGAGTCCCAGGTTTTGCTGTAGGTTTTTCCTTTCAGGCTGTTTATAGGTTTAGGCCTATTGGGCTTAACAAGTGTAACTACTATTCTCTAAATTATACGGTGCCTGTAAGGGATAGGTGTCTTTGTAGAATGTGGCCCATCCGTCGTGAGGCACATTTCTGGAAGGTCATGGTCATCTTTGGGATGAGATGATTGTGACAGATCCTCATAGCCTTGGTCATCCTCACACTCATTGACTCCATACTAGACTTACCATGGCTTCAATGGCCATCTGCTTAACTTCTTCATATCCTAATAAATATCCACTTAGTTTTTTCTTGTCTTTAACTTGTTCTCCTCCTTACCCCCATATTTATATCAGGGAAATTGCCTTACCCAACTGGATCTCTTTTTTTTAATTAATATATTTTTTAAAATAAAAACTGTATATAGTGAGGTGTGTATCGTGATGATTTGATATAAATATACATGGTGACATGATTACCACAGTCAAGCTAATCAACATATCCATCTCCTTACATACTTTTTTCTTTTTGTGGTGACAGCACCTGCAACCTTTCTTAGTACATTTCTAGTATTTAATGCAATATTATTAAGTATAGTCATCCTGCTGTACACTAGATCTCTAGACTTATTCATCCTCTATAACTCCAACTTTGTGCCCTTTGACCAACATCTTCCCATTCCCTCCTTTTCAACCCCTGGTAACCACCTTTCTACTCTTTGCTTCTATGTATTTACTTATTCAGACTCTATATATAAGTGAGATCGTGCAGTCTTTTTTCTTTCTGCACCTATCTTATTTCACTTAGTATAACGTTCTCCATGTTCATCCATGTTGTTGCAAATGGCAGAATTTCCTCCTTGTTTAAGGCCAAGTAATATTCCATTGTATACATGTACCACAACTTCATTATCCATTCACATGTAGACAGACACTTAGGTTGTCTCCATATCTTGGCTATTCAGAACAATACAGCTATGAATATGAGAGCATGGCTCTCTCTTCATTTTCTTTGGGTATATAACCAGAGGAGGGATTGCTGGATCATGTGGAAGCTCTATTTTTATTCTTCAGCCACCTCCACACTGCTTTCCATAGTGGCTGCACCAGATTACATTCCCACCAACAGTGTACAAGGGTTCCCTTTCCTCCACTTTCTCCCCAACACTTGTTATCTCTGGTCTTTTTGATAATAGCCGTGTTAACAAGCGGTTTTGATTTGCATTTCCCTGATGGTTAGTGATGTTGAGCACCTTTTCGTATACCCGTTGGCCATTTGTATGTCTTCTTTAGAAAAATGTCTTTTCATGTCCTTTGACTTAAATCCTGATTCTCAAAACTCTTGATAGTTTTTATTGACCTCTAACTTCCAGTGGCTCTGAAGAGTCATGACATATGTTTGCTGAAAATTAAAAAAAATTTTTTAAAAATAAACCTCTACTTTGGAATAATGTAGACTTATAGGAAAATTGCAAAGATAATACAGAGAATTCTTGAATACCCCTCTCCCAGTTTCCCCTAATGTTAACATCTTATGTAACTATGCTGTATTTGTCAAAACAGATTAATATTGGTATATTACTATTAACTAAACTTCAGACTTTATTCTGATTTCATTAGTTTCCACTTGTGTCCTTTTTCTGTCCAAGGAATCAGTCCAGGGTACCATATTGCAATTAGAATGTTTGCAGTTGATGAGACTAATCCTGGCTAAGATACTTAGTGTAGCTCAGCCAATGGGCGGGCTCTTCATGCCCACTGAGGACTCATAGTGCCTTTTCCTGGAGGTTGCATGGCATCCCATTGTGCAGAAAGCCATGGTGTTCATTTCAGTGTCTCCTAGCAGATTTTCCTGTTTTTTCACTAACCTCTGATCCTTGCGTATTTGCAATCAGTTCAGGGTTTTGTGGTTGAAAACATTGCTGAACTCCATGCTTTTTGAGCTATTTTCTAATTAAGTAACTCTTAACAAAAATTATGCCTTTGTCCAGTCCTGTTTTTCATAAACCAAAACACTTGAAATCATTATGGTTCCTGAGTTCATGGTTGCTGCATAAATGCCTTGTGATTCCAAGCTGTTAAATATTTCCACTTTTCACAAGATTGTGCCTTGATGAAAGCAACATTAGCCTTTCTGCTGTTTCACCCCTAATTCTTTGTTTTCTTGTTGTAATCAATGAACGGAAGTACTGCTTAACACAGCAGGTAATAATCTCCTAAAACTCATTATCTCAAGAGGTGGTCCTGGCAGGATGTATAAATGCAGTTTAAGAAGGGTCTGGGCAAATGTATGAATGTCGGACTTGGGAGTGGCTACTGAGAGGAAACTGGGATTTGCCTTAGCTTTGACACTGATGTCAGACAGAGCATCTGAACCCTCCTGGGTCCTGTCCCTTGGGCTTGCTGTGGGCAATACCACTCGAACCAGGAATCTGACCCAATTCAGGAATACCTACTCTCCCAGCATGTCAAATCCTCTGTGATAAGTTACTGCCACACTTATGGGTCACCAGGTGTCCATTACCCTGGCGTTTCATTCCTATCCTGGCATGGGCAGATGTAAGGTGGAGTTTTCAGCTGTTTATTATTGTCATTATTTCAAGGATGCTTTCCAGGTTTCAGTAGGAGTCTTCTAAAAGTGTGCTAGCTGCCCTGGGCTGTGCAATTCCGTGATGTTTCAGATACTGGGCGGGAGTCTGGTTGTATCTAGCCTGATTTTCTGGGCTTCTGGAAAGCTGAAGCTGATCAGAACTCCTCTTTCATGTCTTCGAGGTTACACCTACCGCTCCTGGCATCACACACCTGCTCCCAGCAGTGGGAGGTTTTGCTCTCCGGTGTGCTCTTCCACTCGCATCTTTTAAAAACTCTTATCCCAAAGGCACAGATAGTGATATCAACAGAGCCAGCATGCTTGCATCTTTCATCCAAGACCACCATGTCTTGACAGTGAGAAATGCATAATGCGAATGTTAATTATGGATTGTTTCCTAGAACATCTATGGCTAATGCTCTAGAGAGCTTGTCTCTTCCTTATGACACAGGCTCCTTCTCTTGAATCATCTTCCTTTCATTGTTCTCAGAAAGGCACAGTTCTTGCAAAATTATTCCGAGTTTTCAGGTCCTTAGCATTTGTTAGCAGAGAGTACATTTCATTTCCGTCCTTTAATGACTCAGAGGGGGTCCCATGCTGATGAACATTGAGATATTCCCCTGCCAAAGAGGTCTCCTTTTTGTTGATGATGGTCATTATTCACTACCTGGCCCTGAAGGGCTGTACAAAACTCAAGCATACAGTCCTGAGATTGCTCAATAAACCTGAGGAATGATGGCCTTTGGTTTAAGGGAATGGGGTTCAATGGCCTTCTAGCTTTGGGCGAAATTCTTACATATGTTGTGTGTAGAAATAAACACCATGTAACTCAGTGGGTATTTCACTCCATTCCTTAAGGATGATAGGAAATACAGGTTAAGAAGAACCTGTTCTGTGCCAACTACTAGGCATTTAAGTATATCATCCTGTTACTTCAAAACAGTGCTGTCAGAGGGAAGGATTATTATCCTCATTTTGTGGATGTGGGCACTATGATAACTTGTCCCAGGTTTCATTGCAAGTAAGTGTGAGGGTCCGGGTTTGGGTTGAGGTCTAAAGCCCATACCACGTGTGCCATAGCCTAAATAATTGTCATTAGTAATAATGTTTGTGGTGATGACAAATAATAAACCATGTCACACTAAAGAGGGGTTCAATCTCTGGGTCTGTTTAAGCACATTCAGAATTGCAAATATTGTCATGATATTTGAGTATTTACAATATGCTAAGTGCTGCTGCAGTGCTATTGATGGACAGCTTTGGAGACAGCCCTGCCTTCAGGGAGCTTAGACCTAAGCTATAGGTCCTTTGCTTAAACAGAGGCGTGGCCCTGTGACATTGCCGTGCCTCAAAATGGTGGAAAATTTAATGTTTAGTTGATCACCGCTGGCTTTCTGAACCACATATACTTGATTTTAAACAAAATATGGAGTACGACCTGGTGAGCCCTTCCCTGCATACAGCATCCCATTCTTTCTGCTAATCTGGTACCCTCACCACATGTCAGATCTAGCCTGGGAAAGGACAATGTTGGATTGATGACCCACTTGTAAAATCAAGATTTATAGTCTTGGGGTGGATTGAGAGGACTCAGCTCACATGTTCTGTTTATTTAAAATAGGGTTTCTTAACCTTGGCACTATTGACATATCTGGGACCAGATAATCCTTTGTTGTGGGGGCCATTGTGTGACGTGCAGGGTTTTCCGCAGCAGCCCTGGCCTTTGCTCATAGACACCAGTAGCACCCACCCCCTGCAGTTGTGACAGAAATATCTCCAGACATTGCGCAGTGTCCCTGAAGGGCACAGTTGGCCCCAGTTGAGAACCATTGATTTAGAATTGGCTAGGTTGTTACCAGGAGAGAAAATATGACAGTGATCACAACCACTCAACACTGCCATTGCTTAAGCAGTGGAACCATAGTCTTGGGTCAGTAGGACCCTGATGTGCAGTGTGGCCTGTGAACCAGCAGCACTGGCATCACTGGGAGCTTGTCAGAGACGCAGAGACTCAGCCCCCCAAGATCCCCTCCCCCTGGACCTGCTAAGCCAGGAACTGCACTTCAGTAAGATTCCCCAGGAATGATTCCTGTGCATATTAGCTTTCGCAAAGCCCTGCAAGAGGGGAAAAGTAGATCTGTCAGCCTTGGGGGTTTCTTACTCATCTTTGTGGAGTTTTACTCCTTTTTTCCTCAGGGTTCAGGGTAAGGGGAGGCTAAGGACTCCCCTAGGTGGATGAAACTGCTTAGAAACATTGGATTTTAGGCTGTGCTTTTGAGGAATTTAAAGCTTTTTCTCAGATGGACTTCACATCCTTCCTATCTTTCACGATGGTGGTTTAACTTAATCTCTACCTGCTGATAGCAAATAGGTGGTTGTAAAAAGGAATTTTATGCCTTCTACCTCCTAGTCCACAGCTTAGTATTGTCCCATATTTACTTTTAATTAAGAATGGATTACATTTTCTTATTAACACTTTTTAATTGCCTTGCCATCTATTGAGCACCTACTGTGTGTCAGGGGCTCTGCAAAGCACCTTATGCATATTATCATCCCATTTACTCCTCCTAAAGCCTGTATGAGGCAGGTACTATAATTAGACCACAGGACAGGTGAGGATACTGAGGCCTAAAGAGAGGAAGCCACCGGCGAAGGTCATGGAGCCCGCAGCCGGCAGTTGCAGGAGCCAAGCTCTGGTCTCTCTGACTCCAAGTTCTCTTTGCTTTTATTGATTTGAAAAAGTAATACGGTCCATGGTAAAAAAAAAAAAAATTCACGCAACACAGAAGGCTAAACAGTGAAAAATGTCTCCCTCCAACCCGATGCCCAGTGCTTCTTCCTAAAGTGAACCACTGTTGTCAGTTTCTTGTATAAATTTCCAGAATGTTCTACGCTAGTACAAACACCAGTACAGCCTGTACTTCTAACAGCATTGTTATACTGCCTCCCAAGAATTGAAGAGTTTTTATTTTCAGATTATTTTCTCCCACCATTGGAATAAATGAAGGCAAGTCTTTGTAAAACACTACCATGTTCATTCCTTGAATTTGCCACTCTGACATTGATTTCTGATGAGCAGTGCTCTCTCTTTTCTTCTCAAATGAAAACCGCTTATGGTTTTAACATGAATATTTCATTTATTTATTTTAGCATTTTGCTTTTAGAATAGCGTTATCTCAATGGCAAGTGCATTTTGTGTGTGTGTGTATTTGTTTGAGACCTTTTTTTTCCCCCTGTAAAAACACTTCCATTATTTTATTCAGGAAAAAAAGGAGAAGACAGAAACAAAAATCATGGTCATTTGCATATCTATCAGCTTTCAATTTGGTTCTCTTGTCCAGAAGTGTTTCAGACAAAAATCTGTCTTTCTGGGCTTTTTTAAGTATTTTATGGTCTTTACTTATTTTAAGTTTGTGGTCTTGGAAGCTCTGAAATTTCTTCACAGAATCGATTTCACACTGTTTAATATTTCCATTGTCTTCTTCTGGAATATCATTTTTTTCTTAGTTTCTCTTTCAGCACAGGATCTGCTCTTTATCATTTCTTCTTCTCCTGTTTTACTTCTTGCTTTTATCTTGCCTACTTCATTGCATCTAATAGAAAAGCTATTTGAGGCCAGTAAAGCCATTTTCCCATCTTGGAAGACTGGTTTTGGTCCAATTGGATCTGAACGCCCAACACATCCATCTGAATTTATACCAAGGTATTTTCCATGGCCAGGTTTTAGGCCAATTCTGGAATCAGACAGTTTGACCGCAGTAAACTGCTCTGGAGGACTAGGGCCCTCATCAGCTTCTGCTGTCTGGGTAAAAAGTCTATGATCCATTTCATTTGTTATGGTTTCAGAAATTTCACCAAAGTTTGTTCCTGTTCACTAGATTCCTTGAGCAGATGCCAGATTTTTTTCTATGAGATTTTGTAAAGGATACGAGTTAATAACCAAGTGAAGAGACACATAGGTCAAGGTCCTTTGGAGGAGCTTCTGTCCTCGTGGAGCTTGGGGCCTGGCTCAGTGCCACATGGAAGCGTTCTGGTTCCCCAAGCCTGGAGCTCTCTCTCAGAGAGAAGCAGGGTGCAAAAGCTTGTTCTGGACCTTTTTAAAGTCTTGTTTTGGGGTTCCTGTCATTTGAGCACGTACCTGGCTGTGTTTTGTTTTCTAGTTTTAGGAGGATGGTATAGATGGACTTCTCTGTTAGGCTTGATTGGCCCTTAAACGTATCTCCCTGTCAGACACCCAGGCGGTCACTTCAGGAGCAGGAGGAGGTCAGGGAGAGGGGCTGGGGCCGCCTGGGGAGCGGTATGAGGGGAGGAGGGCAGAAGGGGTGGGTGCTGTAGTGGTGATGGCAGGAACTCGATGACACCAGAGCATGCAGGCACCACCTGCTAAAATATAAAAGAGGAAAAATGAAGACATGTAGTCAGTAGCACTTATAGTCTCATGGGAGATATAGGTGAATATTTATGTGTCTCTTGGGGATTGTTCTGTTTTTAGAAAGTAAGTTATTAATAGGAGAAGATAGGCTAAAAAGAGCTAAATGCTTATGAATTAGGGTTATAGGATTCTCCCCCTCTTGTCTAAATTTAGAAGCTACATCCAGAGATGTTAAACATGTAATATTCTCCTTTATTCCAAGATAAATTGAGATAGTTTATTCTAGAGATAATTGTAATGTTAAAAGGGTAAACATAAATAAATGTAGACATCTGGGTGAAGGGTGTATTGGAGTAAGGAAATAAAGCCAGGGTTAAAGGTAAAAACAAACAAGTTCCTGTCAAGTTGACAGACAAGGACAGATTTGGGGCTTTCGATTTCCTAGTGGCCAAAACAGAAAGGAAAATATGAACAGTTGCAGGAGCCTCAGTCTCATGAGAAAAAATCCAGAATGCTTTGCTCAGAAGAGACTGGATTTTCTGGGGACAGAGCCCTGAGGAATTTCATCATTGTGTGTCCCATAAGTGAGACTCCTGGTGACATGGTGGACCCCATCCCTCCAACCCATGCTCTGGGGATTTCCCTATGACTGCTGCTTATAGTAAGTCTGAGTTTAAGCCAGCAGTGCAATGCTAAATCCCAGTTTGGTAAGTTAATTCTAAATGAGGTAAATTAATGTCTTTGTGGGAGAAGATGGGGAAATAGGTCTCTTAGAGAGCCCATGAATTAAAGTCTTCAACCCTTAAATTCTCACTTGCTGGAAAACCTTTCACAACCAAGCAAACATGGAAATGACTTGGCCAAAGATTCAAAATTATATTAAACATCTGGGACTATATTCAGCAGCCAACTTTCTAGTCAATTCTATGAAGTGTGGGGATTGCATTTACACTTACTTTCTAAGGGTGAAATTGCATGGAACTAAAGACGGCAGTTGGCAGGAGTCAAGAGATGAAAAGCTGACAGACAAAGAGCCAGGAGGTCTGGGTGGTTCAGGACCAAGCTTTTGGAAACGATTTTCAGTGTCTCACTTCAGAGAAAATAAGTGTGGCTAACACTGTTGATTGCTGTGATGGAAAGAAAAGGATAACATTCAACTACAGCAGTTTGGGGACTAAGACTTACCCTTCCTGTCCTTCAAAATTCTAACAGAGGGCATACACACAGAACTGCAGAAACAGAAATATCTACTTTATTTTTGGCAAGGGAGTGCTCAATGACCTCTAATGTAGGGCTGCAGTAAATTTATCTACCCTATCAGAGAAGAATGGTGGGCTTTCCCTCATGGACAGAAAGTAGGGAACACAAGAGCAGTCCCTTGGCTGAGGGCCTGTCAAATCTGGACAGAGGCAGCGAAAAAGGAAGTGGTAGGTGAGCCTGCCTGTTGCTTTCGAGGTACAGTCACCCTGTCTTCCAATAAAACATAGCCCAATGAATGTCCTGTTCTGATGAGTCAGATTAGCTTCTTCCCTGGGGGAGGAGTGAGAAAAGGGGGTGAGCCTGGACGTGTTTATTCAATACTTCTGTGTCCAAAGAGGGTGAAGGAGCCTGAATGAAAGCTCTGTAGACCAGGAAGGATCGGAGACAAATTATTCTCCTGTCCTAACAGTTGGCAACAGCTTTACTGAGGAATAATAGACATACAATTAACACATGTATTTTAAGGGTCCAGTTTAAGTTTTGACGTATGTATGCCTATGAAGCCATTACTGTGCTCAAGATAATGAGCATTTCCATCACCCCCATAAGTTTCTTCATGCCCCTTTGTAAACCTTCTCTACCATCTTTCCCCATCCCTGCCCTTGTCCCCAGGCAATGGCTAATCTGCCTTCTGTCACTGTAGTTTAGTTTGTATTTTCTAAGCTTTGTATAAATTAAATAGTACAATATGTACTTATTTTGTCTGGCTTCTTTCACTAAACATAGTTATCCTGAGATTCATCCATGTTGTAGCATGAATCATAGTTCGTTCCTTTTTATTGCTGAGTAGTAATTCACTGAATGGATATGCCACAGTTTGTTCATCCAGACATCTGGTAGACATTTGGATGGCTTCCAGTTTTTGGCTATCTGAAATGTAGCTTCTCTGAACATTTGTGTACAAGTCTATGGACATATGCATTCATTTCTCTTAGGCAAGTATCAAGGAATGGAATGACTGGATCATATGGTAGGCATATGCTTAACTTTTTAAAAAACTGCCAAACTTTTTCAAAATGGTTGTACCATTTTGCAATTCCCACTGATGATGGATGAGAGACTCAGTTCCTCCACATCTCTCTAACACTCCAACAATTGCATTTAAAATCAGTCATATTTTGGAATATAGTCGGCTGGAGATAGGCTTAAATTTTTTTAATGAAAAAATTTCCATGTATGTGTGTATATATATATGTTTCGCCCCATGCCACTGACTTGACAAAGAAATCAGGTCACCATCTTATAGAATATCCTCACATTTCTCTCTTTGCTTCCTCAGTAGTGGGTGTTGGTTGTGGTGGTTTTGTACGTTCTTCCAGCACCTGTAAACTGGAAGTTAGCTCCAAGAGCTACATTAGATTCTGATTTGACTTTTCTGACAAGAATATCTATATCAAGGAGTTTCTCCTGGCCTAAGATGGGATGGTGGCTTAAAATGCAGCAAATATATAAAAATTCATGAGTTCTTAATGATAACAGAAGAAGAAATCTTTGTCATTTCTGGCAGTTGCAAAGGCTTTCAACTCTGTACTCTGAATGTTTCTAAATACAGGGAAAGAACCAAGCACTTATCCTGCCTTCCTATTTGAACTATGTTCCAGGGTAACCACACTGTTGTGCTAATAATTGTAGCAGGAATGATGAAATTAGAAAACCACTATTTTGCCTCACTAACTGAGACAACGGCTCTAGGCAATGATCATCAATGGCTGCTGAAACCATTAAGTGAAGATTGGAGGAAACTTTATGGTGGAGGATGGTGCTGATACATTCAGAACCCATGGGTCATTCTTATTACATGAAGGGAGACAAACAGACATTATATGCCTTCCAATGTCATGCAGTAGTAAGGGGGCAGTACATCCTGGGAAATATTGTTGCCATAAGAATTGAATATGAATATATGGAAGGCCCTAGATTTAACTGCCAGTTTATGGGACATGAAGGAGACTGAGAAACATGTTAAGTGATGTCACAAGGATACAATCAACTAAGTCCGAAACACGGGAAATTCTATAGGGATATGTGATCCAGTTTCTTAAACCAATAAATGACATGTGTTATATATTAAGAGACACACCAATCAGTCAATGCGGGAACCTTGATTGGATGTTGATTCAAACACACTAACTGTAAAGAGACATTTTTTGAGACAACTGGACAAAATTGGACACAAACATGCTATCAAATAATGTTAAGAGGTTATTATTAATTTTGTTGGGTGTGATGAAGGTATTGTGGTGATGGTTTTTTAAAAGTCCTTATCTCTTAGAGCAGTGGTTCTCATGGGGGTGAGGGGGAGTGTGATTTTGCCCCAGGGGACATTTGGCATGTCTAGAAGCATTTTTGGTTGCCATGACTTGAGGTGCTATTGGACTCTAATGGGTACAGGTGAGGGATACTGCTAAATGCCCTACGACACATGTGACTGCTCTCTCTCGCAAGGCATTCTCCAATCCCAGATGTCAGTAGTGCTATTGTTGAGAAACTCTTTATTAGAGATATCTGCTGCAGTAATTAGGGGGGAAAGGATGTGATGTCTGGGGTTTGCTTTTAGTAATCAACAAACATGCAGGCAAGACAGGGACGGGGGTGAGAGGAAATGGAATGGGAGTTGCTAGTCTAGAGATCTCGAGGGCAGCAAAGAATGAACTAATTTGATATGTTCTGGGGTGTTGGTAATTCAAGGGAGAAGGTGCTGAAAAGGAATGTTGTCAGGGCCCAGAGCAAGCAGATCCTAGGGAATGGAAGCTGATGGACTAACCCCTCTGTCATTGTTTGTGTGCTCTAGAGGCCCCCACTGACCCCCAAACTGGATGTATCCAAACCCAGTGTTGCAGAGAAATGCAGTCATGACGAGTTGCAGTTTTAAAAGAGTCCTTTTGTGTGTTTCTAGGCTATGTAGGTGTTTGATAGATCACTGAGAACCGAGACCGACAGAGAGGGGGAGAAACACGGTACAGGCATGCCTCATTTTATCGTGCTTCACTGATACTGTATTTTTTCAAACTGAAGGTTTATGGCAACCCTGCATCAAGCAAGTCTACGTTTAGAATATTACATAAATTTCGTTGATAAAGCAGCTGCACGGTTTGAGTGGATTGGCTCCAGTTTTGAGAGAAGTTCTACTGTGGGTAAAATACTACCAAGCAACATCACATGTTTCTGAGAAATAGTTCGTGGATGGAAGAGTC